TGCTATCTTTAAGAAATCCACTTTAAATAAATAAAAGTAAGTTTTAAAACATAGGAAAACACATACTATGCAAACACTAAAGAAAAACTGAGTGACTTTATTAATATCAGTATAGACAAAGTATATTTCAGAGCATGAAAATTTACCTGAGATTAAGAATAATACTATAAAATATAGTATTGATAAAGGGACACTTTATCAAGAAGATAAAAAAATCCTAAATGTGTGTATACTGAACAACAGAGCTTTGATATAAATGAAGCAAAAACTGATAAAATTGAAAGAATAAATGGAAAAATGCATAATTACAATAGGAAATGTCAATACTGGTTTCTCAATAATCAATACAACAACTAGAGAGAAATTCAGCAAGAAATAGGGTTGCTCAGTTGCGGCTCTATGGGCATTTGGGGCCAGATACCTCTTTGTTGTTGGCGGGGGTGGAGCACTGATGGGAGGGGGGCCTCTCTTGTGATTGTAAGATGTTTATCAACAGAAGGTCAGAAGGCTCTACCCGCGAAATGCCAGTAGCTCTATACTACTAATAACAATCAATAATGTCTCTAAATATCGCCAACTGTCCACTGAGGGCAAAATTGCCCCCCTACTCCCACCATGAGAACCACCAACATAGAAGAACTGAACATTACCGTCAACTGACTGGATCTAGTTGACATGTGAAAACACTCTACCAGCAACAGAATACACATTCTTCTCAAGCACACATACAGCATTCGCAATTCTAGACTATCTTCTTAGCCACGAAGCAAACCTTAACAAATATAAATGAATTAAATGAGCAATGTCAGAACTATAACTGGAAAATCTCCAAATAATTAATTTAAAAAACATTTACAAATACTTCATGAGTCAAAGAAATCTCAAGGGAAATTAGAAAAAATATTTTAACTGAACAAAAATGAAATAGAACATATCAAAACATATGGTATGCAACTAAAGCAGTGATTAAAGAGAACAGTATGGTTTTAAGTGTTCATACAAAGAAAATTTTAAAAATCAATAATATAAATTTCCACCTTAGGAAACTAGTAAAGAATAACAAAATAAATCTTTAGCATGCACAAGGAGGAAATAATAAAGACAAGAGCAGAAATAAAAAGGAGTAAAACCGAAAGGAGAAAAACAATGGAGAAAATCAGTAAAACTAAAAGATGGTTCTTTAAAGGTTAATAAAATTGATAAATCTCTAGTCAGTCTGACAATGGAAAAAAGGGATGCCAAAAATTATTAATATAAGTAATTAAAAAGAGGATATGACTAAAATCCCACAGACATTAAAGGGATGATTAGGGAATAATACAAACAACTCTAGAATAAACTTTAAAGTTGACCACAAACTAATCTCACTCATGAAGAAATAGAAAACCCATAAAAATCTATATTTATTAAAGAGACTGAATTTATAGTTGAAAGCTTCCACCAAAAACTCTAGGCCCTGTTGTAAATGCTTCCCTCCATGTCCCGCGTGGTTCAGGGTTCAGGATCTGGAAGAGGAGCTGCACACAAATGAAAGAGAAAAGACAAGAAATAATTTGGGAATATTGGGGGACCAGGCGGGTAAGTCCAACTCAGGAGAAAGGACTTTCACCCGTGCTCAGGCCGCACTGACCTTTTATAGTCAGAGGTAAACAAGGCAGTGGTCACCATAGTTACACAGTTCTTGTGAGTTTCACCTGTTTTGACCATAGTTATACTTCCTGCACTTCCCTCAGCCCATTAGCCTCCCAGATAAGATCTAGGGCAGCCATGGGCAAACTACGGCCCGCAGGCCGGATCCGGCCCGGTTGAAATGAATAAAACTAAAAAAAAAAAAAGACCGTACCCTTTTATGTAATGATGTTTACTTTGAATTTATATTAGTTCACACAAACACTCCATCCATGCTTTTGTTCTGGCCCTCCGGTCCAGTTTAAGAACCCATTGTGGCCCTCGAGTCAAAAAGTTTGCCCACCCCTGAGGGAGTGTTATAAGGTCAAGCCTAATTATGCTAAGAGGACTGAGCCCTCTAAGCTGGGACTTGTTTGTGACTTTGCCAGCAGGTCAGTCTGAGGCTCAACCCTATATCGGTTCCCCACAAGGCCCAAATGATTTTATTGGCAAATTTTACCAAATATTTAAAGATAACAACAACAATTTTTACATGATCTTTTCAAGAAAATAGAAGAAGGAATACTAGTAATTCCTAACTTATTTTTCTGAGACCAGCGTTCTAAAAAAAGAAAACTACGGAGCAATATCCTTAATGAACAGAGGCATAAAAGTCTTCAACCAAATTGATAAATTCAATCTAGCAATATATAAAAAGAATAATACACAACAGCCAAGTGGGAATGCAAGTTGATTCATTATTCAGAAATCGATGTAATACAGCATATTAACAGGTTCAAAAGAAAAAAGTACATGATCATATCAAGTGATGCTGAAAAAACATGGTACAAAATTTAACATCTATTTGTGACAAGAACTTTCAGCAAACCAGTGATATAAAGGCATTTTCATAACCTGATAAAGAGCTTCCTCTCTCTCTCTCTCTCTCTCTCTCTCTCTCTCTCTCT